ATTGCCTACCATTACGAAATTTTCTGATAATGTTCGGACTTTCAAATGAGTATTTGGTATCCTACCATGGTAACTTATGATAATTTACCGTAATTTATCGGTAACTTACCAACGGTAAGTTTACCACTAACAACCCTGGGTCTCTAGTCAAAAGTTTTATCTCTGAATGTAATGTTAATGCATAAATTAAATCAAATTACATAAGCGTGACCAGCACTTATATTGATTGATTCCCCGATCCTGATTAAATTAATTACCTTAACAAGCTATCGATTGCCATATTCTGTATTACTCGATTAGTGATAAATTCTTACCCGGTTTACTATTGGAACTAAATTGAACCCATAACCATGCTAGTCACTTCAAACAATAGTAACAATAGATATCGATACTATAAGATCCGTATATATTTAATAGTTATTTGCTGTATGTTATTTGATTGGTCGATTTAAGCACCGAAGGTGCTTAAAATTAATCATATAGCAAATAACGGAAAGGTACAATAGTGTTCTAATACTAGTAAAGCGCGATAGCGCTTTACTAGAATTAGAATACTATTGTACCGTAGTTATGAGTACTTCGTGCTTGAATAACTGAATTATTCGGCATTTATATTTATTGGATTTTGCAATACTAATACTAATACTAATACTGACTGTTGACCGGTTTGAAATTTTATCATTTTTATTCACGTGAGTTACGCACTTGTCCGAATATATTTTAAATCCGGTACGGATTTAAAATAATTCGGATAACGTGTGTAACTCATGTGAATAAAAATGATGCCGGATAACAGTTGGTAAATGAAAAATCCGATACATAGAAAATGCCGTATAATTAAACTTATGACAGACAGGGTCTGTTCGAATGTTATAACCCAAAGCCAAAGTCGCCAAGTACTTAAATCTTTGGAAATTGATGAAAAGTATTTTGAACTAAAATAGTGTTTTAGTTGGTAAGTGTAATTATAATAATATGTCGTTTTTTATGTATAATTATGATGTATCGCGTTGTCGCACAGCTAATTATTTGTTGTACACGTGGGCCGACCAACCGGAGTTTGTCAACGATAGATTTTTCTTGTACGTACGTACGTACGTACGTACCTAGTCTTAAATTGTACTACGTACGTACTTAAATCGATGAATTTGTGCTACCCAACTTGCTCTTACGTAAAAAATATGCCGTAGATCAATATTAATAAAAATACAAATTAATTAAGTGTAGCCTAATTGGCTGATCATATATTACCGAATTAAAATGGTATGACAAAATTCTTCGTTATTCAAGTATGAAAGAAATATTATATAATTAAAGTTAATTATTACAAGAATAAAGCCACCGTTGTTACTTTTAATATTTCCGTAATAAAGTATCACGAAATATATTGTATTTGGAAGGGCGCATTTTTCACGAATAAACGGTTTTGAGTAAATTTAAAAGGTAAAGTAGTATAATAATGCAATAAAATTGAGCCTTTTATTAAGTAAATCGGATTTCATAAAGTTATTCGAAAGCTATTTTTTGCTTGCTTTCGAAATTCGGTGAAGTGTCGATAATTTTTATCGATATGTTTTGTTGCTATACATTTTGATGCAGAATTAATTTTTAGCTCCGAAAGTTATAATGAAAATGCCTATTAACAAAGTTTCCGACATTTCATCAAATTTTGAATAATAGTATTTTGAATAACTCTGTGAAACTCGATTGTATTAGCTTAAGAAATATTGACTAATCTCAATATATCGATGATTGTCAATTTACATATTTTTGTGAATTTTTTTGCTGATATATTAATATGCATCTATCAATAACAAATTGCTCTTTTAATATATATAATCAACCATCCATAAATATAGTGTATATACTCTCTTTAAATTCATGCTAGGTTGTAACTACTATAAATGCATACTTTTGCCTTTATTTCTAGGAGGATGCATTATGTAATCCAAAAAAAAACAGTCGTTACAATTTTTTTTAAATATATCACTGATAGTTAATTTTATCTATCGAATATATACTTATTATCCTGATCAGGGATTTATTGAAGCCTAGTACCCACATGATTAACTACAGTTTAATTAAATAAACTAGAGTTGACTTGAGATTAAATTTGGAGCTGGTACTATAAAGTCGCTTTTTTCGACACTTTTTTATTAGTATCAGTTAATCTTGTTGTTTTCAATTTATTTTTTTCACTTTTATTTTTATTTTTGTCCCTTTTATGTAATAGAATTTCTAGAAATTACGTACGCACTTATTTAGCAATTGTACAAATATACATTTTTTATAAGTATTATGATCGTGTACGTACTGTACGTACCACATACAAATATAAATGTTTAAATATAATATAAATACAGTGTTACGACTGGTTAAATCATTAATTAATAAAAATGCACATGCGCACCGAATTTACGACACCTCTTCGTTATTATTTGAATAAACTAGTTCTTGCCTGAACAAAAAAATCGTTCAGCATATCAAGCTATGCAGGTATCGACTATCATTTATTAAAACACATAATTACAAAATGTCGGGTAAAGGAAAAAATTCGAACCCTCCTTCGGTCGATGTTCCTCCAGTCTTCGTTCCCGATCCCAATAATCCTGCAAATTCTAATTCGTCTGACAGTCAGCAACCTCAAAATGACTCTAATAATTCACAACCAGTAGACTCACAACCAACGAACGCACAACCGGCAGACTCAAAACCAGCGAACTCACAACCAGCAGACTCACAACCTCAACCCACACCACCACCCAACCCGCAACCATCTGGACAACCTCAAACGTCATCTGCCCAACAAGCAGCACAAACACCCCAAGCTGCAAGTTCAGTAATCGTTACATCTCAAGCAGTAACTCCCGCTTTTTTAACTCCAACCAATGCCATCACTAATCCCCCTGTGAATAATAAAGCATTAGTCCCTACATCTAGTACTTCCCCTACCACTGACAATTCCTACTATGGTTCTTCAGCTGACTTAACAAATAGTCCTTCTGGTGCAGTGATAGGAGTAGTTATAGCCGTTGTGGTTGTTATAATTGTGGTAGTTTTAACAATAAAGAAATTAAGAAAATCTGGTAGTGATAGTTACAAGGAAAATGCGAGTGTATTAGATGATGATGTTATCGAATTTAATATTGAAGATCACAGAGAACTCAATCATGGATGGAATGATTATAATAGTTACAATTCACAGGGAACAAGAAGATATTAGAATTCTCTATTTTCTATAATTAATATAATATATTTAATAGTATATAATAATAATAGATGCTTTGTAATAAGTACTCGAAATATTAAGAACGAGAAAAATAATAATAATGAGTCACTTTATCTATCTCGTTGTCGTTAAACATTAGGGAAACCATATTTTGTAATATTATCTAAAATACCTGTATTGTTAAACTCTTTTTTTCTAGGGACTTTATTATTGGTAATTATGTTATTGATAATAATATCTACTAATTTGATCTTCAAAAATATTTTTATTTCACTTTTTTTTTTATATTTGTAATATGTAGTTATCATTCTAGTTAAAATAAAAGTGAATTGCATTATAGTATGATGGACTCCTTGTCATTACATACATTTTGTTTACTTTCACTCACAACGCCAACGCCAAATATTCTATTTAGCATTGCTTTTTTGACAGATACATGTCCGTTAGAAATGAACTACAGTAATCCAAATATTTAATCGATAATGAAACTAGAAATACGCAATGTAGTTCATGGGATAAAAAAGCTTTAATTTTTCGTAGTTTTTGACAAATTAGTGTTTTTCCTTTCCTATTCGTTGTCAGATTTTTGTAGTAGTGCATAAAAATTTCAACACTAATTGCTTGATTCAGTACAAAATAGGGCACGGAACGGACCGGCCCGTTCCGCGCCCTAATACAAAATATACTAAGAAATAGTTTATTATTTTTTATTATTACATTCATACACATTCCAATTTGGTGTATAAACGATATACTAGCTTGACGAAACCCTTGTCTCTTCGGATCTGACGCACGACATTAATATAGCTATTATCGTTATATTTAGACGTTAATCAGCGTAGCTTGATTTTTGAAGATCATCTTTATCGTAACGATTTTCTGTCACAAGATTGAATTCAAAGCCACGAATGTGAATTCCTAAGATGTAAGACAGAAAAAAAAATAGAAAGTTCACATTTTACTTAATCAACTGTCAAAGTAATTCGGTAATCCGCAAAGTAATTCGGAAGTTAGCTGTCTTTTACTTATTTTGTGAAAACTTATTCTTCGTTATCCCAGATTATATATAAACCTAACTATAATATAGGCTAAGAATATGAAGTTGAGAGTCATAAGGTTTATAGAGTTAAAACGAGGTAGTGGTACTGTAACTGTAAAGATCAGTTTGATATTGGAGCGAACACTAAAAGTTGTTTTTGATTATTTTTTATTAACCATTAATGCTCTAGAATAGGTTCAAACATTTATTTCTTGTATTTTTCGTTTTTGGTTTGTTTTCGATCCGTTTTTTCTTTTTTAATTTGTAGTGTACTATAACTTTCTTTAATAAAATTTTGGTTTGTCAGAATTTTGTTCGCGACAAGTTTATGTTTTAGATTTAAAGTTATCGAGATTTTATAATAAAGGCTTTTGTTACTATTAAGTTCATTATAATCATTTTTGTGCATATCAGTTTTTTATTCGTGACAACTTAGAAGTTTAGAACTTCGATTAATTTCGATTAACCAATAAAATTTTTACTATATCACTGGATAATACAACTATGCTAATCTGTTATACCAATATGTTACTTAATTTTTGTTGTAAGTCTGATACTGTACGTATATATAGTTCTTACCTGGGGCAGGTCAGATATTAACCAGGGTTATAACCCGGGTCAAAGGGTCATGCAGGAATTCATCAAGTAATCCTTAAAGTTGATATAAGACTCTTAATTATAGCGATTAGCATAAAGACTCCAAGCATTTAAACTGAAACTTTGCGAAAAATTTCTCGACCTTGAGTTCGTTTCTATGTCCTGAAACGCCTGATAAAAATAAACAGAATGATTTTTCTGCTAATTCGGTATAATTTGTGATTTCAACATAATCATATGGGCGAAAATCTCCAATTGGAACACAGTGATTATTAAAAATGAGGTGATATTGTAGGTTACGGTACGATTTCCCGAAAGCTATTTCCCCGAGATGTCACTTACCCGATATCATACAGGCAGGGTTGGCAATGGATAAGGTCCATTGGGAAAATTATCAATGGAGCCAATGGAGTGAATGGAATAGTATCCATTGGCTCCATTGG